ATCTGTTATTGAGATGGTTTCTAAATTCAGGTGGGATATGTTGTTGTTAAGCACCATCAAGTCGATTCCAACCCGTAGAGTTTCTGAGGAGCAGCTGGTTAGCTTGAACTACTGACCTTGTGACGCAAACTGACTTAGCAGTCCAGTGCATTAACCCACAGTGCCACACTAGGATTCCAGGTGGGGTATATTCAAGGTCATTATTTTGACTCGTGCGGACTTGGTTTAATTTTCTTCAACTTGAGCCTGAACTGGTGTTAAGAACAGTTGATTTGTCCCAGTATGACTCTGGTCTTATTTTAGCTAATGATCTTGAGCTTCTCCAGTCTTTTCCCAGATGTAGTCAACTTGATTCCTGTATATTCCATGTGTATGGTGGTGGTAGTTGTGTGCCACCGAGTCAGTTTGACTCATTGTGACCCTGTATACTGCCTCCAAGGCTGTCAATCTATACAAGAGCAGAAAGCCTCTTTATCCTGTGAAGCTGCTGGCAAATTCAAACTGCTGACCCTGTGGTTAGTAGTCCTGCTCATCATCCACTATGCCACTATGGCTCCTTTCCATGTATAAAGCAATCTTTAATTGTTTAAGCATTTGGAATGAATCAGTCACTGGTACTGCAAAATTCTAACAAGCAACCTCCAGCATCGTTTCTATCACCAAAGCCATATTTTCATTTCCAACTTTCACATTGCAATCACAAGCAATTAATTATCAGAGCATCTTGATGGCACGTTTGCTCAATTTCAGACTGAAGAAGTAGGTAGGATTTTCAATTTCATCATCGTGGCTTCAGTGATGTGTAGATTTGAATAATAACATATTAACTGGTCTTCCTGGTAGGTGAATGGGTATTATCCTATCAGACAACACTGTACTTCTAGATAGATCTTCAGTGTGCTGTTCCTGGCATAGAGCCATATAACTGTCCCGTTCAAAATGGTCAATAGCAATTCATTTCAGTTCACTAATGCTTAGGGTATGTCTTTGTGTTTCAGCTCTTTTCTGAAGACTTCCAGTTTTCCTAGATTCATACTTGATACATTCCAGCTATTAATGGATATTTGCAGTTGGTTGTCCTTGAGCTGTACCCCATCAGCAAATGCAGGTCCTACCACTTGTCTGTCAGTCTGTCATAATGCAGTGGGGCTTATGTGTCGCTGTGGTGCTGGAAGTTAAGTCACCAGTATTTTAAAGTCCCCATGAACTTCTGAGCTCACTTCCCTGTAGAACTGACTCAGCAAATCACCTAGGAAGCCACCGCTTTGACTGGATTTCTTTAGAAGGCACTCAACAAGCCCTGTTGCTGTTGTAGGATAAACACTGGACTGCTAACCACAAGAACAGCCATTTGAACTCCGCAGCTGCTGCTTTGGAGAACGATGAGGCTATCTGCTCCTATAAAGGTATACTGACTCAGAAACTCTATAAAGGGTTACTGAATCTGAATCGACTCATTGGCAACGGGTTTCGTTTTGGTTACAAGACTTAAAGACAAGTATATTACGGAGAAAGCCCGTTATCCACAGTCATCCACTGAATAAACCCTGTGCATGTATGAACTTGAACCCTAGCCTAGTAGTGATACTTTATGATTGCCCATCTATAGAAACCAAAGCTTCTTAGAGGAAGGCAGGGGAAAAGGGAGAGTTTATGCTTAGGGGACACTAAGTTTGTTAATGGTAGTGACATGATTTGGGAAAAGGAGTGAAAATGGGTCCACAACCTGAATGCAATGAGCAGAGACTTATCCAAGTGGACACTAGAAGGTGTAAGCTTTGTTAACCATGTGTACACCACTGCTGCTAATTGCCATCAAGTCACTTCTGATTCAGAGTGACCCTGGGCACGGATTTCCGAGTGCACTCAACACAGAAAATAGAACCCTGCATGTTGGTCTTTCCAGTACTATCTCCTACGCTCGCTTCACTGGCACCGCAGTAGTTACAGCAGTAAAGGTCTACTGCTCCCCTCCGTCTCCCCCAACTTCCTTTCCCAGTCCCTGGATGAAAACCCTATACCAAATGTTCAACCACATATCAAGTCCAGGAATCCAACAACACAGACTACAAGCTGGTTTTCTCTTGGAAAGTTTATTGTTTTTTTAAAAACAAAAAAACCTATACTTTTTACACTTTACATTCACCTCCCAGAACATTTAATGGGACCAGTCACAAAGGTTCTATAAAAAGGCAACCAGCTACTTAAATGGCTATACATTTTTTTAAAAAACATATTCTGGTATTAAAGTGGCTTGAACTCTTTGGGAGTCGGTGTAACATTAAGTATGGAGATTTCAAATTCCCATATTGGAATAAAAGTTTAAAATTAAGAGGAAATAACTGAATAAAAATTGAAGGCAAAAAGGAAACATTAATCAGAAAAAATATATATTGTTTTTTCAAAACAAAAAAAAAGAATCCCCTCACTCTGAACTCAGGTTTAAAAAAAAGGAAGCACCTACCACCCACTGTTAGAAAACCACCCAGTTCTGAACCCATCTGGATTGATTTGCAGATCAGCCTGTGGGATCTCACACTGGCCCCAGTTAAAGCTTTAAAAAGGAAAATCAGGTAGCTAAGACATCCATAAATACTGGTACCCAAATGAATGAAGACATCCTGGCTTTGGTATGGCTGCAGGAATCTGGTTGGTGGAAGGGTATAGGGGAGACACAACAAGACCTCCCATCACAGGCGAAATAAGTATCGGGGCATGTCCACAGCAAACACCTGAGGCAAATATAATACTTGAAAAACAAGCGTCCCTAAAAAAAAAACAACCAAGTTCAGGTTCTTGATCAGAATGTTCTGGAACAACTGTCTTCTGAGTGTAACTGGCAGGAAGAAATTTGAATCTGGGCAGTCACCTGACTGGCAGTGAGTGACAGTCAAGGGCCTTCGGGAACAGGAACTGGGCCTAGGAGCCAGGCTCCTCGTTGTCCAGAGCATCTCAGGTCATGGTTCTGTCCATGTACGACCCAAAAAGGGCTTCTGTCCCTGGTCACCAGAGGCCTGCCAGAGTGATGGAGCTGCACAGTTTCCATCACTGTAGCAGCTACATAAAAATCCAAAATCTGCAGGGAATCGAAGAACTGACCATTCTGTCTCCAGTCTACTTCACAGTTCATGTATTTGCCCTAGACCATGATTAAAGGGAGATTTTTCATAGCTGTGACGACACTGAGGGGCAGAAGGCAGCGATGGGTGGAGACCACATCTAAGCATGGCCTCACACACCTTTCGAAGTTACGCAAGCAAAACGGCCAACATGCCCATCCTAGTCTTCCAGGAACTAGTGACTGTCCAAAAGCAGAAGGGCCAGCAGACCAGGCAAGGAACACAGGCAACTTGCTGCTGCTTCGATGCTGACTCCCCAAGGATATCAGTACAACCCTTGCCAATAAACATACGCTTTGATGTACTGTTTAGAAGATGGTCATGAAAAAAAAAACAAAAAAACACTCTCGATGGCAAAATACATTGTAATATATTGAAATAAATTTCTGTCACAGGAAACTAGCTGACAACCAACAGTCAGTCACCTGGTACTACAGGAAGTCAGACACATCAAGCATGACAATCCAAGAGAGAACTCCTCTGCTAAGGCGCCAAGAAGAAGCCGACAGCGACACCAAGGACTTGGTTCCCTGTGGTAAACACCATCATCACGGGGCTGGAGAGCAGACGAGAAACTGGGAGCTCAATGGTACTTTCATAAACAGCACCATTTATACTATTTTCTAAACCAGATGCCATCTTGGGGAGAAAATGAATTATAAATTAAAACAAAAATATAGCTGCACAAATCTTAACTCTGAGTCTCTGCTGATGCCAGGATTTAAGAGAAGGAGATTTACTTAGGACCACAGTCCCTCCACTTGCTTAGAAAGGACTCACAAAGGCTGTGTCAGACCTATGGAATGCCCAAAGAGGCGATGGCAAACTGCTCTAACCCCAAACTCCACAAAGCTCTGGAGATGGCAGCTCCATGACTCACTTCTCCACCTGTGTGTGGAAGGCAGGCCCTGGCATCTGGATCAATTACAGAGAGAATATGCTGAGTGAGCTTCGCATCTCTCCGACCAGGGTCTGCTCTCCTGGGCCCCCGAGTGCCGGACCGCAGAGTTCCGTGATGTACCGTGGGGCCAGCAGCACAAGGGAATCTTGGATCGTGAGGAGGGACTTACAGAGCCCTGATAATTGCACTCTCAGTGTCACCTCCCTGCCGACAGCAGGTAACCCAGCTCGCAGCAGGGAGAAATGAAATACAGATGTAAACTTCTAACAGGACCACTTCTTGGTTCCAGTGTGAGACAGAGCAAACATGGGAGTGAACCACCTGTATTAAACAAAAGATAAAACACTGTGACTTGAGCACATTATGAGCTAATCTCGCCCCACGTCAAACCCATTTACACTTCAGTACTGTCTCCAGGCAAATGTTCCCATTATTCCATCAGAGGAATGGATGGGGGGAGCCAGATGTTACATGAGGTATTTATTTCTTGGGGAAGGCGGAGCTCCAGAATTCATCTCCTTCTGCTGGGACCTCTGCCCTGAGCTTCTGGGGATACAGTGAATTGGGCTCGTAAAGGAAAGCAGCCATGTGATCCACGCATCAGCTTCCCAAGGTGAGCGTGCACTGCAGCGTGTAGCTCCTTCCCTTCCTGCTCTTCTGCACATGAGAAAGATCCGAAGAGAAGTCATAAAAGAGCTCTCCCTTCAAACTCAAAGGAGCTTTAAAAAAAAAAAAGCCAAAATAAACACAAAAAGAAGGGAAAAAAAAAAAAAATCACACACCCATACTCCCGAATGCAAAACAGTTCTACATGACTGATGTGTGGAAGTCTGGAAGTCAAGGCAAGGATGGAAGAGGTGGAAGTGGGCAGCCACATACAAGCCTTGCAGAATCTTCCATTTTCCAAGACAGAAGTAGCTATTTCCAGGAAGTTAAAAGGCTTCTTATTAAGACGAAAACAAAACTGAAATGAAAACTCCTCCAGAAAAGGGGCCAAGGGAGGGGCAGTGGAAGTCAAGCTGCAGAGCGCCGGCGGATCACAAAGAGTCCACGGTGGAGCTGGCCCAGGTAGATCCTCATCTTGGTGCTGTCACTGGTCTTCCTCACCCAGATCTGCATAGGAAGGAGGAGACACTGAGACCCAACCTCCCAAAGCATCTGCTCTTCCGCACCCATTAGGGGAGAGAGGATGGGAGGGAGATTCTTCTTTGAGCAACCCAGACCCATCTCACCTGGCTGAGGCCTTTTCAACAGCCACCCCTGAACATCTTTCCTGCCAGGCGCCTCTCTCATACCCTCAAGTCAGAACACAGAAGGCACAGCCACTCATCCTGGGCTCATTTCTGCCTGAATCTTAAGGACTCTTTGGTTTGACAATCACGTTAACATTTAAGATACATATACTCATGTATATGAACCTTTAATCAATTCTTTCCCTTGGCCCAAAGGACTCCCATCTGATAATCTTTCAACGCTCTTGTTTCCTGACTAATGGTGGTATCAGAAAAAGGGGAAAAAACAAAACAAAACCCACCACCACCAAAAAGACACCTAGGCGTGAGTAAAGGGCCAATGAGGGTCATCAAAGGGTCAAGCAGTTCCAGAGTGCCCTGTCCTCCTTCCCGTACTATCCGCCCACAGACAGCACCAGATTGCTGACACCGTACAAGGCACACTTATTCTTCCGTGAAACCTAAAAGGAACTCCGGCAGCATGGGACCGACGGCTCTCTACTCAGTATGTGGCGTCCTTCCAGGAAGAGATGGGAACCCCTGCTCTTCACCCAGCACCTGACAACAGAAGCCTTTCTGTCCTCAGAAGCCCTCTATGAAGTAAGCTCTAGCCCCGTTCCACAGAAGAGGAACCGGAAGCTCAGCAGCACAGTGGATCCTGGCTGTCTCCCTCCAGAGACAAGTCTCAATGTCACCGTGTCCTTGTCAAACCACCCTGACACTGTTACGTCAAAAAGAGACAATCTTCAACAGAGAGAGAAATCTAACTTGCTCTCTTGATTTTCCTAAAAATTTCTGAGGTGTCACAAAGGAGAATGCTGCCCTGGTGTAAGGAGAGGTTTAGCTCCCAGAGGCCACACGCCCCAACCAGGAGGTCAGGCACAAGCACTCCATCTACAAATCACTGTGTCTCTTGGCTGAGGGCCAAAGGCCTGTTAGATCCTCTGACCTGCTTGTCACTTGGCTAGAGGTGACTCACATTGTACCTGAGCCCCAGAAAAGATTGACATTCATGTATTTGGAAGGCTCTCCCTACCTTCTAAGTAAACAATAATTTTGCAAACTAGTCACATTTGAGGGAAGTTTTCAATTCCGAAACCTGGGAGAACAGACGAGGCTTAAGTTATTTCAAAATCCAGTTTCATTAGATTGACTGAGCAGTGGCACAAATAAGTTACAGAGGGGAGACATGTGAAATCAATTTCTTGGCTGACATTTGGGGACTGTAAAAGATCAAGCCAATCCACAGCTATTTACGTTTCAAACTTGTTTTCAACTGCCAACAATACAAGGTAGACACTGTTGACGTCCTCCTAATGAAAGGCCAGTTAGGGGGCTCCGAGGGCAGTCACATGGGCCTCATGCATGCCAACTGTAGAACGAACCCCACCCTACAGGATGGACTCATGGAGGCCAACGATGGGCAGACGGGATGGAGTGTTCAGACAGGATGGAGAACCCACACCCGCACCCACTCACTGAGCCATGGCTCTCAAAAACAAGGACAATGTCAACACAACAAGAAGCCACAGTCAGCCCTGAGTTTGGGTCATTCACACAACGCCAAAGATACTCAGCAAGCACTTAGTGTATACCGCAGACTATGCCGGATGGTGGGGACACATAGTGAGCAGCAAGTACTATACGAATGAGGAATGTTAAATAATCACACTCCGGCAACCAAGGTCAGAGTGGCATCATTTATACTGACAGGCACCTAACTTGGCCTGGACCGTGAGTGGACAAGACAGATTTGGGGCCAGACATCTTCACATGCCTCATTTAACCCACACAGCAAGAAATAAACCTATTTGCACACATGAAATTCTACAGCAGCAGCAGCAAACCAAAGACGAAGTGCACACCACAGGCCAGCTCCACCCCCAGCGGACGGTGACCCTGAAAAACAGCCAGGTCTGAGTGCATGGGCATCAAGACATCCCTCTGGGTCTTTCCTGGGTTCCCAAATCACTTATGGCACAGAGTTTACAAAAGCCATTCAGGAAACGCAGATCCAGCAGACTGCAGTGAAGCAACGGCAGAGGGATTCTGACGGTGTGATTTCTGCCTGACAGGATCCCACTGTGCTTTCTTGGTGACATTTGCAGGCCTGTCCTACTCGTAAACGCTTCTCAGAGCAAAAATTGTTTCACTTTCCTAAAGGGTGATGGAGTGGGACCCTACCTCATTGGCTCCCACGGAACTGATCACACAGCTGAGTTTCTGGTTGTCCTTGGACTCCAGGTAGATTGCTTGGCTCTTGTGATACCTATCAAAAACAAGGCACAAATTTTAAAAAATTGAATGAAAAAAAAAAAAAAAAGGCAAAAAAGCATCCCTGGTGAGTCAGGAAAGTATCTCTAGCTGAAGAGGCCAAGCACAGGCTCCCTTCTGCCCGGCACATTCAGGGTCCAGGCCACAGATGCAGGTGAGGAAGCTAGGGCCAATGGCCAAACGGAACAAGGACAGCTGCCACAGAGACAGGAGCTGCAGCAGCTACTGGGTTACAAGACTTGGAACCAGTAGCTCAGCTGCTGCTGGAAGTCCTGGCCCAGGTCAGCCCCAGCTCAGACTAGATACCATCTTTGGATCATTCTTAATACACAGATTGGGCAAAACAGACCCACTAAGTCAAGCAAAACCCACCCAAACCCTTCTCTCCCAGGAAAGCAGTGCATCGTAATCTCTCTCTGGGGGAGGAAGGCAGCCCCTCTGCTGAGCTGCAAGAATGAAATAACCAACTGCCAAGGAGCGTGGCTGAAGGATGGCCTTCCCTCCACACTGAGCTTTTCCCACTCTAGGTTCAGAGCACTCTTTAACCTACGAAGTCGGAGCTGAAAACTCAGGTTTCCAAACTCAATTTACTTCCTGAAAAGACTGTTAGAAAGAAATTGTATCATAAATGCAATTAGAACAGCCAGACTGGTTTAGGCCCAAACTTTCAAGCAGCTCCTTTTGGCTACAGCTTAGTCAGTAAACTAAATCAGGGGTCCTTCCTTATGCTAAACATGGAATGTCACAAGGTCTGAATTAAGGGGTATAGGAGGAAAGGCTGAATTTGTTCTCAAATTCAGACATGTCCTGGTTTCCTGTCCACATCTAAGCCAACTACTCCATGGAAACATCCTAAATAATGGATAGGGTAAAAACAAAAAGAATAACACAGGGAGAAGAACATTCAGAGTTATTCTGTGGGGATTTTATCTTATTAAAGAGACAAAAAAAAAAAGAACAAACTGTTACTAAGTGGTTCTGACACTACTTTCTAAATACAGAAAGGTCATAGGTGTGGTGAAGGATGCTGGCAGTGCGGACACAGGCTCAGTACATGGCTAAGTGCAAAAAAACTCACGTAACTGTATGTATACAACGTATCTGTAACATGCATGCCATTGGTAAGTCATGGAGTCTGTTTGGACTCATAGCAACCCTGTATAGGGTTTGTGAGGCTGTAAATCTTTTTACAGGTGTATTTGAAAGCCTTTCCAGTGAAGTGGCTGGTGGGCTCAAATTACTGACTGTGTGGTACACAGTGCAATTCTAATCCTCTGGAGCCACCGTGTTCCAAAACATATAAAACTGGGCAAGTTTATATGTTAAATATGTAAGTGTATATTGGCTGTATATTCAAATTTTATAGAAACTTAAAATGGTATTCCCTTTTTGGAATAGCTTCCCTTTTGTACAATAAGTAGGTATTAGTTATAAAAGGGGAAAAACAAGGATAGTTTTCTTCTAAGTCATGAACAATTAGGGAAAGAGAGAAGGGGAGGAGTAATTAGGGGAAGGGGTAAGAACAGCCGCACAGCTCTCAATGTCACTGAACTGGTGTCAAGTTCTGCAGAGTACATCCTCAAACAAGCACATCGCAACGACAACAACAAAAGAGAAAAGAGATTACAAACAAGAACAAAGCCATGTATTAAAAAATTCATAAATGACAAGATGGGGTGCAAGTCAAAGGTCATGTCAGCAGCACAAAGGTCTGCTACAGACAAGAGTTAATATGGGTTTTCTCTTCCTTTGGGTGTCCTTAAAACCCAAAACCCATCACTCGGGAAAGGCTCCAAAGTGGCCATGAAGAGTAAGCAGTGTGACCTAGTCCTAGGACTACAGCCTACAAAAAGAGACTTGGGATTTTAGTGTCTGCCTGCTCTGTGGTCACCACATGGTGGCAGATGTGAATGTCCATCATTGACCCTGTTTGGTCCCCGGAGAAGAGGTGGCCAATATGCTTCCCAATGTAGCCTACTTGGAATCAAATTCCCAATCTGCTGCCATCGAGTCGATCCCAACTCTTGACAGCCCTGTAGCCAGAACTGTGCTGTTCCACAGGCTTCCAAAGCCATGATCTTCACAGTAGTGGAGCGCTTAACCAAGTGCCACAAGGGCTCCTTTGTTTCCCAGCATCCTTCCTAAGCCACTGTCCCTGGGGATTCTGGATATCAAATCTGTTAATTATTTGGATTCTCTGGGGGGAAAAAAGTCCTCAGAAATTCAAAGTGTTCATATAGAGGTGTTTACACAAAATAAAAGTACATGCCAATTTTAACACACAAATTTACCTTCTCATTTTTAAAGATAAAAAAAGAAAGAAAAAGTAGGATAGAATTCCAAATCAATGTCAATATAAAGTACGTTAAAAGCAACATCAACAGAGCGAAATCAGTAAAGCTGTACCCTTTTCTGTCAACTAAATTTTCCTAAGCTACATTTCATCTCTGCTGAAAAAATTAAGGAAAACAAAAAGCTCTAAACAGCCTCAGAGAACAAGCCACAATGTCAAATTGACTTTATTGCTTTATTACTAATGGAAAGTAAGACCTGGGAATCCCTATAATTAAGCTCTTAAAGTTTTGCCTTGATTACTAACCCCAACGAACTAGAATTACCACTACTCTTCTGAAACAACATAATTTCTTTAGAAGGTGGGTCAAAAAGTGGAGTGGGGAGGGAAAAGGATTCATTTTAATTCTGTGTCCTGCCAGGAATCCTGATACGTTATTTTAATTTCAACCCCTCCCCCGCAACACACACTATGAATCCCCTCTTCTTGTTACAGAGCCTTAAGGAGGGCCAAGTCTAGCCATAAACACGCACTGCTGCCGCCATCTTTTACAGCAATTGAAGGGGTGACGATTTCAGTATAAATCACACGGCACAGGACTGTGAACCACAAGGTCAGAAGTTCAAGTCCACCAGCCTCTCACTGAAAACCCTACAATGGGTCGCTATGAGTTAGAACCCACTTCACAGTACTCAACAGTAACAGTACCTGCTCTAGCTTGAAGGTGAGGGGGACGGGGGAACACCACCAGTTAGCTATTGTCAAGTGGCATGCAGTCGGTTCTGACTCCTAGTGACCCTGTATAGGGTTTTCAAGGAGCGGCTGTTAGGTTTGAACTGCTGAGCTTGCTGATCCCACAGCGCCACACCAGGAGTTGTTAGTACAAGCCAGAATGTGAGGCAAGTGTGCACCACACTGGAAATGCTTTCAGAGCCCTTCCTGACCACTGGGAAGAGGTTTAGCTTTCACAGGGAAATGCAGAAAAGACGTGAAGAAACCTGAACTACATTCATTTTTGGCAAAGTCGTTCTCATTTAAAACTCAATGAAACATGTGTAGCCAGAAACACGGTTCCCCCCAGCCCTGAAAGCAGCCTCTCAGGCAGAGGGCGTGGCTGCTGCAATGGGAAAACCGAAAGCCTTCACATGCACAGCCCAGACACACCCTCCAATTCTCGTCAGGAAGGGACCCACCTATCAACAAATGGCTCCTGAAAACACACTAAACACAGAGGAAAACGAAAAGTATGCTTCCAAACTATAGTTAACAACAGAATAAGAAAGTTTTAAATTCATAGGGAAAAAAAATGCTTCCCAGGAACGTATTTCCAAACTGCCCACTTTGTTGCCCATGTTAAGAAAACTCAAGTTACAGTGGATCCTTTTTTTTACAAAAACAAAGCATTTGATTTTACTTCACTGTCACCCTTAAGGCACGTTTCATAAAGTCCAAGGATTAGGCCTGGAAAGGGGAAGATCTGCAGCCAAGCAATTACAAAATGAACATCGCCTGAAATATCACACAGTTTTAAGACTCATAGATCCGTAAAAAATATCAGTGATGAATCTCATCATTCTCGAAGCCGGTTTGTCTGTGTGGGCTTGATCTTTAAAGGTTATTTGGTTTTCATTATTAGAGACATTTTTCATCTTACTTTGTCCTTCAGTGTATTAAATTGTTAGGCCCTGCCACCTAGTGGTGACATAGCTTATAAAAGCTATGATGGATCTAACACTCACCTTTATACAAAATGCCGTATCAGAATAGTGAAATCAGAGGGTAGAGCTCACACACAGAACAAGCCTACCCTATTTCACAAGCTCATGGTGTGCTAAAAGGTAGAACTGATTTCTTTCAGTAATGATGAGACTTATACACCTGCTCTAGGGTAAACAACCACCGCAATACTGGGTTCTCCAAACATTCAAAATATTCATTACCCTAAGTTTAAAAGTTCTGATTGAATAAAGATATGTAAACTCAAAGGCTAGAAAACAGCCATTATAAATGACTGTTCCACAAAGACCATATAGTAACCCAGAAAACCATTTTCAACGCAACCGAAGGACAAAGGAAAACACAAGCACAAGTCCACTGTGACTTAAACGGAGTGTGTGCCTGCATATGGACAAAGCGCAGAGCAGACCAGAAGGTATCTGTGGATGAATAAACGGATGAGCTTCAAGACTCTCTCCTAGTGTCTCACCATCTCCTTTCCAGTGAAATTAGGTTGTTGAGCTGAAGAATTTAGTCTTCAGTGAAACTAGTTGTGTTTTAGGATACAGTCAACATGATGACAAAAGGGGATGGGGTAGGGAAAGTACCAGTATCAAATAAAACATCTAGAAACATCTTAGAGATTCACAATGCACATTAGCATCTAACAGAACCCAAAGACTCCTACAACGAAGAAATCCATTTACCTGAACACAAGTATGCCTCCGAACTTACCTGACCATGAAATCAGTTTTTCCAGCAGAACCTCTATTAGCTTTGGCACACAGCAGCAGTAGGGGGAGTCAGAGGGGTACATGCCTCAGGTCCCCATCTAAGGGGACACCACAAAAGATGGGCAACCCCAGATTCTAGAGCAATACCAGCAGAAAGGAGATGGAGGGGGCTGCTTACCCACGCCTGGCCACCCTGAGCTAAACACAATTTTGGGAAATGTTGTTGTTTTCATAGACCTAACAGTGTCATTGATCAAACAACTCTTGATACATTTCAAACACTACTCTACTTTTAGGACTATGTGAGTTCAGCAGCTTTGGAAAGCTCCGGCCCAAATGGTTTTTTTGGCGACGATTCTAATTGGCCCGTTGCTTCTCCCAGAACATACCATCTTTTATCGTAGTACAGTTTGCCATCTTCTATCCGAGCTTCAAACCTCTGGGCTGGAGACTCTGCGGGCGTGGCAGGCAAGTGTTCAGGAGAGGATGGGGAGGCTGGGGGAACCAGAGAGGCATTTAATGCATGAGGCCACCAGCTCACGTGTTCCAACTGAATGCTAAGAGGCGCGGTGGTCGTGGTCATGATGGTCAGCGTAAGGCTCACAGTTGTGATGAGCGAGAAGCTACCACATTCGGATTCATTCCATCTAACTGGATTCTCAAAGCAGCTCTGTGAGGTGGACCTCCCTCAGCAAAGAGGGGAAGGTCACCTGCTGTCAAGTGGCTTCTGACTCAGAGCGACCCCAGGAGTGGTCTTGCGGTTAGCAGTCCAGTGCTTCTTCTACAGCACCACACCAGGATTCCAAGGTCACTTACAGGAGGGCTAGAACCCTGCTGTGACCATCAGAAGCCCAAATGGCAAGAGGTACATAATCTCTCAAAATCTGTAAAAAAGAAATCTTTTCTAGAACTATTTCTGACCAAGTCAGGCAGGCTGTGCTCTGAGAGGCACCTGCTGGCAGCCATACCCACAACTTAACCCCAGAACTGAGGATGCCTTCCAGTTTGCACTTGGATCTTAGGTCTGATGCCCACATTCAAGGAAACCGTCCCCGCAAATCAATCACATTTTTTACAAGAAAGCCTAAGGAAAAGACAAAATTAACTGTGGTGGGGGAAGGAAAAACAAAAAAGCCAGGGAGGAGAGTACGTAAGGTCCCCTTCAGCTGTCACAAGGACAAACTATTTAAAAAAATAATAATGATACTGCAATGATTCCAACAGTTATTTGCATGTTTTTCTAACAATGTGATACAGAGACTATACAACTACCAATAACATCATGTACTTACCTGGTCTCTTGGGCGACTTAAGCTGTAGGAAGAACAACAAAAAAAAATCTTAGAGAAAATCATGTCAGATGTAACACAAAGTGTCAGAATGACTTAAAACAAGTGGCATGAAAACAAAGAGAAGCAGAAAACCATGCCACGCCCAAGCATTCCATGGGATCAGAAAACTCAAGGATACCTTGTTTAATGTTCTCAGATCCTCCATGATCTGCTCATCTGTTAACAAATAGTTGAGCTGGGGTGATAAAAAGTTAAAGGAACGTATCTGAAGAGCATTGCTACCAAACACATAGCCATCAACCAAACAGCATCAGTCTTCTAGAACCAAAACCATGTGGCTGTGTGAAACGATGTTTTAAGAAAAGTTTCTTGGAAGGGGATGGTTCTGCCATCACATGTGTGGCAGCCATCTTACATGAGGAGGTGATGGAGATCCAATCGGTTAAGTACAGTGACAGCAAGTACAGGAAAGGGATACAATCTGCACTCTGAATTTTTAAGGTGCTTTGTGTCAAAGATCTGAAGATAGTCACATGGGTCCATCACTCCTCAGGGGTAAGGGGACCAGCAGTCAGGCTCTGGCCTGTTTTCTGCCATGTCCTCTAGGACAGACCCACTCCCCTGGGTATCTCGCTCCCAGGGTCATCCTTATGACTAAAGGTCTTCTTTGTGTCTGACTCAAATCACATTTGCTTTCATTTAAGCAGTTTGCAATCTACGATTTTAGGGGTTCCAATAACTGAGGGAAGGAGCTCTGGAAGCGTAGTGGTTACGAATCGGGCTGCTAACCTCAAGGTCGGCAGTTCAAAACTACCAGCTGTTCCGCGGCAGAAAAATGATGCGGTCTGCTCCCATAAAGACTGACAGCCTCGGAAACCCTTGGTAGGGTCACTATGAGTTGGAACCGACTCCATGGTACTTAACAACAATAACTGAGGGAAGGAACTCTGGTAGCATAGTGGTTACGAATCGGGCTGCCAACCTCAAGGTCAGCAGTTACAAAATACCAGCTGTTCCATGAAAGAAGAATAAGGCTTTTTGCTCCCGTAAGGATTTACAGCCTCGGAAACCCTGTGCAGGGTCACTGAGTCGGAACTGACTCCAAGGTTCTTAACAACAACTGAGGGACCTACAGGGAGACTATGGGCCTCGTTCCACAAGTGGAAACATTAAGACACATGATGTCTTGGGCTGCCCCTGAATTCCAAAGTGACTGCCAGCATCGAGCTGTTTCCCCTGTGCCTGCTCTGCACGCCCCTCCCTCTAAAGCATTGATGCCAAAGGATATCAGGAGCGGGCTTCCTCCTCTTGTCTGGGATGGGGACAGGATCATTGGGTCGCCTCCGCAGCTTTCTGGTCATGATGGGCTTCACTTCCATCGAATCTGCGGCAAGAATGGAACGGGTAGGTGAATCCAACTCCTACTTGAAATCATTATGAAAGCTTATCGTGCTAACTACATCTGATCCACAACCACGTCAGACTGTTACATGGGGTTTTATGTTTGGTCCAGATAGCCCCAGGCCTGATACCATGTCAGCGTTAGGAGTCTTTATCTGTAGAGATTCCACTGACTGACGTGAGTGCCTGCCCCTTAAAATGCAGTGTCCACTTCAACCTTACCCCAGTAACCCTCATCGTCCCTCAAACCAAGAGGCCCCAGCGTTGCAGGATCTCAAGAATGGAAGGTGCCTTGAGTCATGGTTAGCCAACTCTTACTGTTCTGTTTCCTCAGATGGAAAGGGGTCTTTCAGCGATGCTGGCCTCTGTCCACCATTTGACCATCAGGTCTTCATCACACTTGAAATCACTGCGCAGCCTTTTTGCCGTCCCTTGAATGCCAAGAATGCTAGAAAAACGCTCATGGTAAGGTGTCTCTACAGCCCGACACTGGCTGTTGCGACACAAAACTCTCCTGGCTTGGCTGGCTTGCAGAGTGTACCCTCTGGCCATTTAAGGGAATGTTTTGTTATGTATGTATATTTTTGCTTTGTTCATTTGTAAAATATAAGATGTAAATAGGGAGCCACAGGGAGGACGCAGGATAAGTATAATCACTGAGTATATAATTTGTTCAATGTAAAGCTGACAGTCTTGTCTCTAGACCTTCACTCACACACACACACACACAAACTCTCCTGCTTGCCTCCTCGGGTTATTGATAGAGTCCTGCCCCTAAGTACTGACCTCTAGTGTCCAGTCGGCCTCAGCCAGCATCTCACTGGGTCCCAGCTCACAGCCACCCTTCTGAGTGGCGATACTACCGCTATACATGTTCCTAATGGACTCCTTCCTCCTGACTCACCTCCCCAGGCTACCTCTTCTCCTACATCTGGGGGACAGGACATCAACACATCCAGCCAACAAAAAACAAAATCATCTGTTACTTGTCTTCCTTCACCGTGGCATCAAACACAGCAGGTAATAGCACTATGGTTCAGCTCCACCTCCAGTCCACCCTCCCTACCCTCAGAGTCTTCCTGACCCTCCACTGAGCCTCTTTTTTCCTGTCTGGCAAACTCCTTCACATCTCTGGGGAGAGTCAGCTCACCTCTCCCCCTTTTCCAACAGCTTCCATGGAAGAGTCACTCCACTTTCCAGATGGCCAGAGAATATGTACCCCACAACACACACACATACAACCCTGTACAGTAACCCCATCCTGGACCATCCCCCATCACACTCCTGAATTTCATGATAGCGTGAAATCTGTCCCCATCCCAGCACCTAAAACTGTCTAGGCACTGTTGGGGCTGCACAAACATTCTGTAGAGTAAATGAATGAAATCTGAGTACCAGAAAAAGGGAGTTTATGCTCAGTCCCACTACCAGCAGGGCAGAAAGCATAGTGTTAGGGAGAAACACATACAAGGTTAACAACAATGAAGAACTACGGGCACCTGGTGAGCAAAGCAGGGGAAAAGAGACTCCAGCTCAGACCTTCAGAGGACAATCACCCAGGGATGGAAGGGCCAGGCTGCTGGGCAAGGTTGCCCATCATACAGGGAAGGCATTCAATCATCAACTCCATCGGGGTCTTCTTTTGTGTCCTGAATCACACACAATGGCGTAGGACCACTCCACTCCACCCTCAATGCAGGCCACCCCTTCCGTTCCCCTCCACTAGTCCTTGTGTGGGGCTCCTTTCCCTCACCCTGACTTCCACGTGCATGAGTGACTTTCTGCTCCAGCCTGGGTACCACCACAAGCACCTCAAAACCAGCAGGAGTCAACCTGCCCAAGCTTTAACTCTGTCAAGAAAGCCTTGTTTCAACACCACCTCATGCTGCTGAAGGCAAGCGACAGGTATCACGTAACCGTCAGACGACAGTTCCTTGAGGGTGCAGGCCTTATCTTTCAGCTTCATCCTGTGCATCACTTAGTACTACACCCACCATGTATTTGTACAATGGGCTTCAAAATGTTCATGGAATAATCCCATTACTTTTCAATTGCATTTTCCCACAAACTTTGTATACTCCCCATTGTCTATAAACCAAATAGCAAAACAATATACTGGAGCAGCAATGAGAATCAGTCACATTCTGACTAATCACTCACAGGAGTATTTGGACCCACTTTGCTCTCTGTAAAACAAGGATACAGACACACAAGTCAAAAGGAGCATTAGAAAAAAAAAAAAAAAAAAAAGGCGCATTAGATACTAAGTAAGGCTACAATCTCCCAAGCCCCAAGTGCTTACTCTGTGAGCCAACCACTCTATGAAGCACTCATTTCATGTCATGTCAATCCTACAGAGTAGCTCCCACCCCACCCTTGCCAAGTGAGAAAGGCACATCACTGAATGAAGTTCGTGACAAGACCAGGATCCATCCCCAATCTGGGTCTGCAAAGGGTGTACAACTGTCCTGAGACAAATCCTGGATCAATCAAGGTAAGAGCTCAGGAAACAGGGCTTCTGCTTTGGTATCCTACTTCCTCATGGCTCCAGCTAGGAACCCAATGTCTTTTAAAGGAAACCCACAGGCTTTACGGAGGTCCTCAGTAGCTTCCACTGGTGCCCGAGGGTTCCACAATGTACCTGGTGAAGCAAGAACATCCTAAGGGAAGCGGCAGCTCACGGGCTATTAGAAGACCAGGAGAAAAGCCAGCGGCCCACCAACAAGTAGAAGGCAAGACTAAGGAGAATGAAGGTCTCCACATGTCAAAGCTCATAACCTTGGACCCACATCTGGAGATGTCCCCCTTGCTATTAAGTTGGTTCCAACTCAGAGTGACCCTGTACAGGGGTTTGAACTAACGACCTTGCAGTTAGTGGTCCCGTGCTCATTCTACAGCACCACACCAGGACCCCAGAACTGTTCTAGAACCTCACTACAAGTGTGGTCTGTGGGCAACAGCACAGCCACCACAGGGAGCTGGGTGAGAATGCAGACTCCTGAGCTCCAGCCCACATTTCCTGAAACACAAGCTGCCTTTTATGACAACGCCCTAAGGGTCAGAGAAAACACTGACCTACCACTCCTGCTAGCTTCTTACCTCCATGGCACCTTCTCCCGGGCACAGCCCAGGTCTCCTGAGCTCTACAGAGGAGAGGTTTATAAACGCTTTACATTCAGACACAAGCAGGCAACTGGATGTAACAATTCCCTGAACCAGGTTTCTTTTGTCGCTTATTCCATTTTGCTTTTAAAGAGATCTTTATGCTAAACCAGAAAAGGTGGTGGTTTCACAACATCTCTCTTCCAGGCACAGCAAAACCCAGGGTCATCATGTCAATGCCAACTCAGTCATCTGGAGGGTGGAGCCCAACTGCCCATACAGACTGCCACAGCTTTCCCCCAAGGAGTGGCTAGGGGGGTCACACCGCTGGCTTTCCAGCTGGATTTCAAGGGCTTAACCACAGCATCACCCGGGATCCTCAGCAGAGGTGAGCAACAGTGATTCTGGGCATCAGTGCAGAGGTGACATGAGTCACTCAAGGAGAGGAATGCAATCAGGCCTTGAATCCAACCGCACAGCCGCACCATCTGTGGAAACGCTCATTATCCTTCCAGCTCCAGTGCCTTCTTCCCACACTCTTGCCTTACCTTGGCAGTGCCTTCTACACCAAGGGAACCAAACAGCTGTAGGAAGGACACTGGTCCCATTCGTGCCTGTCTCGCTGTAAGCACTTGCCTTCTATCTCACTGTGTTACAAATGCCTTCCCTGCACCCACCTGTCTTTTCTGCCTGGTCAGGCTGAACTTGGGAGTCACCGAGGACACTTCTGGTCCCAGAGTTAAGATTCCCTGGCTGTCAGACTGCCTCTCACTTGTCAGGAAGTGGGCTGCCAAACCCCGGGTGAAGGATGAAACCCTTCCCTGCAGATGGAAAATAGTATTTCCCACTTGCCAAATGAAGGCCCATGAACACGTGACTCTTGCAGTAAGTGGCCATCACCAATGCTGGCCACAGATCTCGTGGCTCTCAGGGAGTGCCGGCCACAACCACTACCAGAGAAAGAGACATGCAGAGTAGCTGACGGCAGGTGGGCAGGACACCACACGGTGCCTTCGCTCATAAAAACCATTTCAACAACAACAAGGCACCAGGGTGGGTCTGCAGTAATGATTTCCACATCCATTCACACAGATACCCTGTCTGAGCTGCCTCCAGAGGCCTCTGGGGAACTCATTCCTTTGCTCAAGTCTTGTAAGAAGGAAGTGAACAGATATTTTTTTCTCAAAATAGCCCATCCCACACCTCTGACTCGACTACCTTCTCACTGCTGCACCCGGAGGAGTGGTGCCAGAAGCAAGCATCCTTGTAACTATTGCTTTTAATTTCAGAGTCTGCCCAAGGACTGATGCACAAGTACTGATATTCCTGTGGAACCTAGCTGATATTGGACAGGTCTGAGTCCCAGGTCCTCTGAATGTGACTACAGAAGTTAAATGTGGGGTGCACATAGAGAAGGGCAAGGCTCTTAAACGAGGGGGATTCACAAGTGGGTAGAAAAATGGAATCCAAAGACAATGGAATTTTTCCAGGCACTTTCTGAAGTACCACCAGAGATCCTAGTGATACACTCAGCTCTGACTTCCGCTGCAGTATCTGAATAGTGGAAATTTTGTCAAGTGCCAAAGCAGCCAATTCCAGAGAACTCATCTTTCTGGGGACACATGGCAATACTGCTGCTCCTGCCGTTGTCTACACGCACTGAGTGCCCCGCCCCTACACAGCTGCCGAACTCCTATAAGGGACTAGGCTCTGAATCTTACGCAACTATAAGACCTTCACAGGAAAACAGTTCCACTGTAGCCACGCCTTCTGTAATGCTATCATAATGCCTGGACAACAGAGGGACTGATACAGTCCTTGTTCTCACTGTCCTGTGCTGTCAGTCATTTAGGCAGAAAGAAGAAAAATAGCACTAGGCACTCAGCTTTCTAGTGATGACCTCTAACGAGGTAAGGGAATTATTAGCCTCATTTTTGGGGGTGGGGGGGATCAGAGAGGTTTGCGGCTTAAATCAGGTCACACAGCCAAGACAAGGTGGAGCTGGGAATCAGGTTCTGCCAAGACAAGGTGGTCCCAGTGGAGCCATCAGGGCCCCCACCCGCACCCCAGCAGCTCCCTGGGCTTCGTACCTCCAGTCAGCTCCATCGTGAGCTTTTCATTTTCAATCATCTTTTTCTTCTCCTCTAGCTCAGCAATGAGGTTCTCTTTCAGCTCAACCTTCTTGTCTTCAAATTCCTTCACCGCTGCCTTTTTTTCTTTAATGTAATTCCTCTCCACTTGTTCAGTCTAAGCAAAAGAGAAGCATAGTCTAGAGGTACAAGGAAGGGCCTGAGAACCTGGCCTGATGCTGTGCTTCCCAACAGAGGACAGACTAGAAAGCCCTACGTATGGGGCAGTTCTAACTGCCTTAGACAGCTGTTAGGAGTCGGTATCAACTCAGTGACAATGGCACAGATAACTGAATCCCACAACACTCAAAGAGTGACATCATATGAAAATAAAAACTGTAAAAGCAGCCACTGTTGACACTGTTGGAAGTAAAAAACAAGCAGGGTCAGGGTGAGCTGTGGGCGTGGATAACGTGCTCCTTTGGGGGCTGTGTGTGATGACCTGCTTCGCAACAAGCTCAGCACTAAAATGGTTTCCAATACTGCGGCTCTGTAAAACCATCTTCTCAACCAGTGCCCTACCGCGAGCACACAAACCACCCGGGCGTGGCGCACCCATCCACCAGCTTTAAGCACTTGTCTCTGTTTCCCTAGCAGCAAGCCTGACGCAGCACTGGCGCTCAGATGCCTGCTGACTACAAGGAAAAATGAAAAGAAAACTGAACAAAACAAATCTCCCCGGCTATACAACAGACCTGCTGAACCAATTCTGACACTGGGCTGCTCCAAGGGCCAATACAGCGCATGATTACTCACTGCCACAGAGCCAACTGCAACTCACAGAGACCCGAAAAGGAAGGCTTCTGAGGCTGAAAATCTTGATGGAAGCAGATGGCCTCATCTTTCTCACTCGGAGCAACTGCTGGCTTCCAGCTACAAGCCTATGCTTACCCCACTGTGCCATCGGGCCCCCGTAGCAAATGTTCTTAAATCACTGAGTCACCTCCGACTCTTAGCAATCTTGTATAGGATTTCTGAGCTACAAATCCTTTCAGGAGCAAAAGCCTCTTATTTCTCCCGTGGAGCAGTCAGCAGGCTAGAACTGCTGACCAAGTGGTTCAGAGCCCAGTACTTCTCCTACAGCACCACTCACTCCACGGCAAATGATCAGTCCCTTCTGATTCAGACATATTCCCAAACACCTTCCATGTGGCTTAAAAGCCAAACAGGAAGCCCTTGTTGTTGTGATGTGCCGTGGAGTCGGTTCCGACTCATAGCGACCCTGTACAGGGTTTCCGAGGCTGTAAATCTTTACGGGAGCAAAAAGCCTCATTTTTCTCCCACAGAATGGCTGGTAGTTTTGAACTGCTGACCGTGAGATTAACAGCCCGATTCGTAACCACTACACTACCAGAGCTCCTTCAGTCTCCCTTAGCCCCTGTGATAAGAAAAGGCTGCCAGCCGACCAACGAAGAGATGAACTTCTGAACAGGAATCAAACGCCCTTCATCCAACAGAAAAGTGGATGGGGAGGGCCTTCCAAAGTCTCTAGCGTTTGGAGCTGAAGACAGCACTGGTTTGGGAGAGCAAGCATGCGTTCTCAGAAATTGCCTGAAAGCCCAGATGATCCGTGTACTTACTTCCAGCTGGAGGAAGAGTTCTGAAAGAGAGAAAAGGTGCCGTTAGACTCGCTAGGCAGGGTCACCTTTCTGGACTGCCTCACGAGGGTTCACTTAGCAGCCGTAACTATTGCTGAAAGCATGGCTACACAAGTTACCATTCTCATCAGGAAAGGGGCAATATACAGGAAGGGGAAGGCAGCCAGAAGTACGCTTGTCTAATTAGAATCTAGCCTGACCAAGAGCAACAGCAAGCAGCAGGAACCAAATATCCTTCTGGGGGACAACTCACAGCCCAGAGGGCTTCCAAAGCCATACGGTTTACATCAGCAGAGGGCAACATCTTTCTCCCTGGGAGCCGCTGGTGGGTTTGAACTGCAGACTTGGAGTCTAGCAGCAAAGCACTTGACCACACCTCTCCCAGGGTTCTTTCAAACTACACGTCGTCAAGTCAGTTCTAACTCACTGTGACCCTGCACAAGGTTTCCGAGAAGCTCGTGGGTTTGAACCACTGCCCCTTGCGGTTAGGTCCAGTGCTTAGCCCACAGTGCCACACCAGGACTCTAATCAAAATACCCTGGCAGGATGAAAATCAAAACTACCCCTTTTTTCACTGGGCCCATAGTCTCCAACAAGCCTACCCAACAAGGGTAGGTGAGTCAGAAAGAAGCAAGCCATTACTGCGGAAGATGAGTCGGTGTTGAGGGCTTCGTGTAAAGGTCCCTGTGGGGAGAAGGGACATACTCCGAGGACCTACAGCACAGGTCTGAGCGCCTCCTGAGGCTCAACTCTCAGCCTGCCAAGCCACTGGGTCAGCGGCTCCCTGGGCCAGCCCCTTACTCATCTCTCCCAACAGATCACATGCAGTCTCCACCAGAAGCCTTGCCTACCACCCCTCTCTCTCACACACCTTCGAGTCTCCAACCAGCAGTTTGCTTAACAAGCACACACTGTGTGCCAAGCAGTTAGTATTTAACTGCTTATGAGCAGCACACACCCTGACTAGATTACAAGCCCTCCATAAACCTGAGGAGCCTTGGTGGTGCAGTGATTAAGTGCTCAGCTACAAACTGAATGGTCAATAGTTCAAACTGTCCAGCTGCTCCAAGGAAGAAAGCTGTAGTTGTTTGCTCCCATAAATATTCCAACCTTGGAAACCGTAGGGGGCAGTTTCACTCTAACCAATCGGGTCATTATGTATCAAGATCCATCTACAAACCCAGTACTTGGGACGTAATAGGTCGCTGGTCCCTATGGATGACAGTAGTACATGCGCCCCACAACACATCCCCCTCCAGGGGTGGTGGTGGTGAAGTGCTGTGGAGGCAGTTCTGACCCAAAGTCACCCTATACAGGGTTTCTGAGGAGCGGCTGGAGGATGTGAATCATCAGACCTTCCAGTTAGCAGCCCAGGGCTTATCCTAGGGCAACCATCCAGGGACGTACCACTCTAGTTTTACCTACTGTCCCCGTGGAAAATCGGATCAAGACCATGTGCCCATTCCCCAGAAAGACACACATACACACATTCTAAGTCCACACCAAATTTTCTGGGGAATTTCAAGAGTCCTGGGTACCTCCAGATTAAATGCCCAGAAATTCAATTAATCGACAACCATTGAATGTGGAGATAAACGGAGGAAGGGGACAAGCTACTCATTCTTTTCTAACCCCAAAGGGCCTGGGCTGGGATGGATCTCTCTCACACCCAGACCAACATGCTCCCACCTACGACTGCCTCCAACCCGGACTCAAACCCTGCACCAACAGGTCAAAACGACAATGACACTTGGAGTTGCCAGTGCTTGTTTTGGTTACGGCAGCCACACACCACACAAAACCAAAGCAGGTAGACGGCTTTCCATCCGGATGTGCTTTGTAAAAAGCACATGACGTGACGGACTCAGGACCTGGTCTATGCTCTTTCCTGGGGGAAAAAAGCATTTCTGAAAGAATGTGAGCAAACCGAATTGAGAATCTGAGAGCTGAATGAAGAAAAAACAATTCAGTACCTACTCAACTAGCTTGAGGAAAACGGTCCAAAGGATTTTCATTCATTATTTAAGATCGTAAATGAATCCTAAGGTCGTATTATTCTTACCTAGAGTAATAGAAAGAAGTTCTATCATCCTGCTTCCACCAAACCAAGCTAAAGCAAACCAAACCAAACCCATGGCCCCCAAGTCGATTCTGACTCAAAGCAATTCTACACAAGGCTTCTGAGGCTGTAAATCTTCCTGGGAGCAATTAGTCCATCTTTCTCCTGCAGAGCAGCTGGGGACTAACCCACAGCGCTACTAGGGCTCCTTATCCTACTTCAAGTGCAAAGAGACCTAGAGGATGAAGGCAAGGCCTTCCTGTATGTTGATGTTTGTTAATATCTTCCTCTCGCCACTAAAGGGCAACTCCAGGAAGAGGATGCTAAGGGTTTCCCAAGGGGGTCCCTGAGGAGATAGGCAGGGAGGTAGGTGGATGGAAGGCTAAGGACCAGGGCAAGAGCTGCTCTTTCCCATGCCTCTCGACCACCCGCTCCTATCTGTTGAGTGTACACTGGACATCTACTCAGTGGGGGCGAGACGTAGGAAGTCCATCAGCAGAAAGGTCACTGGGTCACAGCACTGTGGAGCGGCACTCAGATCACATCTAAATGCCAACGTTCTCACCAACACCACAGAAACCACCATTCTGTGGGTATGCCAGATGCTAGTTAACGCTACTTCACTCTGAACACATATGCAAGATTCCTCATATGTGCTGGGAGCCGTGGATACACCCTCTACAGGGTCACAGCATGCTAAAACTGCTGGCATGATGCCTTACCAAACTCATACTAGGCTGACACGGGCCTTTTCTTTTGTCAGCAAAACCACCTGTGTCTTAAAGGCCAGGATCATGTGACTACCTCGCAGACACACATGATCAGCGCGTCTTTGCTTACAAGACTCCTCTTGGGAAGTCAGTGTGCATAACCTGACCACTTGTTATGAGACACCCTATTCCCTCACCCACTGAACTGTTCTTTGATCAATGGGAAAAAACAAACATGGAACTAGTTCTACTTCACCACAGCTTTGGGGTCCCCCTTTCTGATATTCTCCCCCAGCAGGATATCTCGGGTCTGTATTAGGGAGTGATCTCGTATGGACACATAACATGAATGGCCAACAAAAGGAGGAAAACTGGAAGGGGATTCATTTCCATTTACAAGGCTGCCTTACCTGCATTTCGGATCCTCTCTTTGTATTGCTGGTCTAGTTTTTTCATTCTCTTCTGATACTCCTGCAATGTACCTGATTTTGAACATTTACAAAAGAAAAAGAGAAAGTTACTTTGAAGATCAACTGTTCTGTCTTTTGTTTCCTAGAATGATTCTCCAGCACCAACAGTGACAGCTTCAGTGACGTCACAGGAAGAGCCACACCAAGCACAGCCAGGCCTGAGCAAGGTGAAGCAGACTCTAGCTCTCAACCAGAGACACACAGCAGAAGCCACCTGGGGCTCAGTTCCCGTCTACCTCAATCACTTGGATTAGGACTTTACAGCAAAGGACAGAGAAATGACAGAGTGCAGGCAACCCCGAATGATTCTCAGAGTTAACAAGTGACTGAACAGCCATCTAAGACACAACTATAATCTCTACTCTTTAGGAACGAGAGAGAAAGGAAACCAAATTTTGAAAAGAAACTAGTCTATGGAGCTAACAGACCACACAAGCCACAGCCTCGTCTGCCCTCAGACCAGAAGAGCGAGAAGGCGCTATTCCTACCATTTCTGCTCATTCACATCAAGGCCACGATACACACACTCTGACAGAAAAGAAGAAAAATGCACAACAGAACTCAAATGCTTATAAAGTCCAGGCTTATTGGATCAGTAAGGACTAGATGATTCCCTGAACTATGATCCTGATACACTCTTTAATCTCTGACTGAAAACCATTCTCTTAGGTCACCTTTTAGGGAAATAACAGCTAGACGTATGAAATAAGGGACACTACATCTGAATGCAGAGTCCTGGTGTGGCACTGTGGGTTACTGCACCAGAGTGCAAAGCCATTTGAACTGCAAGGTCGGTGGTTCAAGATCATCAGCTGCTCCTCGGAAACACTTTACAGGGTTGCTTTGGGTTGGAACTGACTCAACAGCACTTAACAACAACAACCTCTGAATACAGGATTTCATAAAAACAAACATCTATTTAAGCAAGCCATTTGCTTTGGAGGCATCAAGGCAACAAGAAGTCAGCCTATTGGAGAAAATCCTTCTAGGACTGAATTTACTGAGAACCTGTGAGCAGTCCACTATGCTCACTAGTGACCACCTTCATCTGTCTACAAGTAAAGCATGGAAATGTAGCAATGAACACACAGGCTGATTTTAGTTATGTTCCATTAGCACTCATTGATCTTGAGAAAGAGAAGAGGAAGGGCTAGCTGGTCTGAAGTTCAGGGAGTTGTGTGAACTCCTGAGCCCATGGACAAAGATGTAGCCCTTGGAGGCCAGGGCTGAGAGTGAAGCAGGCAGCTAGTCTGAAGTGCGGGGAGGTGTCCATGAACTTCCAAATTTGCAGCGCATATCCATTTGACGTAGTTTGATCAGGACACAACTAGCTGTAGATAAAGATGTTTGATACTGTGAGCAAGTCTAAATTGCTACAATTTGAAGAACTGGAATTTTGCTAATGGTTGCAGTTGCTCACAACTCCAACTGGAACAAAAAATTCCATTCCAGGCAACACACCTGCCTGCTCAGTGTATTGGGTTGATAGTTGTTACTAAGTGCCAGTGAGTCCGTTTTGACCCATAGCGACCTTGTATAGCGTTTCTGAGGAGTGGCTGGTGACCATGAACCATCGACCTTGCAGTTCAAACTGACTTTGCAGTCCAGCACATTAACCCACAGCGCCTCACCAGGATTCCATTCAATATAGACATTGGCTAAAAAAAAAAAAAAAATGGATGGGGGGGGCTATAAAGGCACAAGGAGTCCTAGTGTGGAGCTGGAGGTTGATGTGCTGGACTACACAGTCATTTGAACCACAAGGTCTGTGATGACAGACACATTGTCAGTAGTGACACTGCCCAGTGTGGTCACACCAGTCACACGAAGCTACTGAGCACCTGCAGTGTGGCTACCACCGAAGGAACCGAGTCATGAATGCACCCTGTGCTGCGTGACTTCATAATCATGTTTGAACCCATCACTGCAGCCATTCTGCCAGTTTGTCCCGAGGGTCTTTCTCTTTTGCTACAAGCATGATGTCCTTCTCCAGGGACTGGTCCCTCTTGAAAGCATACTCAAAGGACAAAGTCTCACCATACTTGCCTCTATGCTCTTTCTTGCTGTGTCTCCTGTAAAGCACATTGGCTTGTTCTTATGGCAGTCCATGGTATGTTTAGTATTGTTCAATGACACCTTAATTCAAAGGCATCAATTCTCTTTCAGTTTTCGTTTTATTCACTGTCTAGTTTTTGCATGTACATGAGGAGGCTGAAAGAATCAATGCCTTGGGTCAGGTGCATCTTAGTCCTCAAAGTGACATCTTTACTTTAACACCTCAACGAGTACTTTTACAGCAGGTATGCCCAATGCAATACCTCACTTATTTTCTTGACAGCCACTTGCACAGCATTGACTGTCGATGTAAGTAAAAAAGACTGATACCTTCTATCTCTTCTCTATGCATAATGCTGTTATTGGTCCAGTTGTGAGGATTTTTGTTTTATATTGTGGTATAATCCATATTGAACACTACAGTCTGAGCTTATCATCACTTATTGCTTCAAGTTTTCTGTTTCAGCAAGTAAGCTTGTACCATCTGCATACCACAGGTTATTAATGAGCCTTTCTCCAATCCTGAGGCCACATTCCGCTTCAAACAGTTGGGCTTCTTGGACTGTCTGCTCAGCATACAGACTGAATAAGTATGAAAGGACACAACTCTGACGCACTTCTTTCCTGATTCTAAAGCATGCATTATCGCCTTGCTCTGTTCAAACAACCACCTTTTGGTCTACGTCCGGGTTCTTCATGAAGACAATGAAGTGTTCTGGAATTCCCATTCTGTGCAATGTTATCCATAATTTGTTAAGATCCACAGTCATATGCTTTTATATAGTTAACAAAACCAGGCAAACATCCTTCTGATAGTCTCTGCTTTTAGTCACGATTCATCGGACATCAGCTGGAGAAATAGCCGTGTGTCCTACCCTTTTGGTTTACTAATTTTAGGTCTTTGAGTATTTTATTACAACATCTATCTTCTTGAGTTGTCCTTTGAGAGCTTCTGTTCAGTCTTGGACTTCATTTCTTCCATTCACTTTAACTTCTCTACATTCTAGAACAAGTCTGTCTCTTCTGATCTCCATTTTGCTCTATCTTTCCTGTCTTTGTAAATGACCTTTTGCTTTCTTCATATATGATGCCCCAGATGTCAGCACACAAACTCATCTGGTCTTTGCTCACTAGTGTGTCAAATCTATTCTTGAGATGGTCTCCAAACGCAAATGGAATATACTCAGGGACGTATTTTGACTTTTGTGGACTTCACCTTCAACTTAACCAGGCATGAGCAGCGATGGCCTGTTCCACAGTTGGCCCTCGGCCTTGTTGATGATATTAAGCTGCTCCCCACTCTGTTTCTACATATGTAGTTAATATGATTCTGTCTAGTCCATCCTCTAAGAATTGTGCATATTGTTGCAGTTTATACTGTCAAAAAAAATATTTGCAAAGAGTTAAGTGTGCCTCTGGTGTTGTTTCTACACCAAGCCATGTTTTTCCAATTATGGATCCTTCTTTTTTTTTTTTTTTACAGCTTTCACATTCCAAACCCCAATTATACTGTTATACTGTGGCCCTTGCCTCAAAGTAAGTGTTGGGAGTTCTAGCTCTCTAAGCTGTAAAGGTAATCATGTTTGAACTCCGTGTTTTCACTGTTAGGTAAAATCCATTACTGCTGTTGTTAAGCACCATCTAGTTCGTTTAAGAGTTGTTAACAGTCAGTTCGATTCCGGTTTGGACTCATAGTGACCCTGTAAGGGTTTCTGAGGAGTGGCTGGGTGAGTTTGAACCGCTGACCTTGCAGTTCAAATCCACCTTGTGGTGGAGCCTTTATGCTAGAGAGCCACACCAAGTTTAATCAGAGATACAGATAACACTAGCCCATGAACCACAAGGTTGGTGATTTGAGTCCAACAACCACGCCAAAGGAGAGAGATGAGGCTTTCTACTCCCACAAAGATTTTTTTTTAAAGCCTAGGAAATCCTATACAAGGTGGCTATGAGTCGGAGCCAACTCAACGGCACAAGAACACACACACAGAGTCCTGGGGGAGACAGACATCAAGGAAACAAGGAATGCCTAGGGCCACCAATAAGGAAGGAAATCAATACAGCTGGGACTTGAGCGTGGGTGGGTCACCTCCAGAGCTTTGAAAATACAAACCGCTCATCCCCCCATGCTGCACAGGCCTCATAAACCTGTATTTCTTTTTCCAACAATACTTTTATCATCTCTGAAAGAACAAGACAGCATTATGATGTGTGACTATAAGGCACAGGAATACATGTAGCCATTAAGTAGAGAACAACGTAAAACGGGCTGCTCCAAAAGGAGTGGGTCACCTAACACAGTAAAAAGGCCTCATGGGAAAGCTGGGACACTGGTAGCAAAGCAGCTAAGCACTCAACTGGGAAGTAAAGGGTTGGCAGTTCAAGCCCACCAGCAGCTCCACAAGACACAGAGGCAGTCCACATCCATAAGCATTAGACAGCCTCATACACTTCGTGGGCCAATTCTACTCTGTCCTAGAGGGTTGCTATGAGCTGGAATCTGCAGGATGTCACAAGGTGTTTGATGAATGGAACAATGATTTCACTGACAACACTACCCCACAATAAGACGCCAAAGAGCGGGATAACAGCAGCAAGCCACCCGAGTTGTCATGATGCATCCCCACTCTGCACCAGACACGTCTCACCCAGAAGCTCATCTACTCACCTCTTCTTCATGTCGCAGATCAGAAACCAGATTACAGCACAGAGAGCAACAGGCCTGTCTGTGCTCACGTTACAAAGTTGTGGAGTAGGGATTCGAGCCTGTCATTGGACTCACAGAGACCGGAGCTCTTGATCCCATTGCTAAATCACCACTGGTTACCAAGAGCACTCAACCAGACACAACACACTCAATACATGAAACAACAATAACTCTGGGTAATCCACAGGTTAGCACAATTGGTTTAGAAAGAATCACACTTTTATTCCTCGAAAGCCACCTTGCTTCTCAAAATGTCTAGCTTACACAGCGATTGGTTTCAACTCATGTTAGAGAATGCCCAAAATTTGGTTCTTATATTTAAAAGAGAGACTTTGAGAATGACAGTGGAAGATGGTCTGTAGATGGCAGCAGAGCTGAAAGCAGCCCGGCCTGACATGAAATCACTTCCACAGAGACAAGCTCTCACCAGCTTGTTTGTCATGCCGAGTTTGCTGAGAATTGAGATGAAATCAGGTACCAACCTTCCTGCAATTGCTGCAGCTGCCTCTTGAGAGAAGCCAGCTTGTCCTGGTACATCCTGCGGGAGAAGAAGAGCCACACTGAGACACACATACTTCATGCTGGACGCCCAAACACGCACAAACAGGAGTGACCTGACTTAGTCTGGGAGTGGCAGGAACATCCTCTGGGGGAGGAGAGCACAAGTGTAAGCGCAAGCGCTACACAAGGCTGCTGACTGATCACTGTGCCCTCCTGACAATGGTAAGGAGCTCTAGTAGTGTGCTGGTTACGGGTCGGGCTACTAACCTCAACCACCAGCTGTTCCGCGGGAGAACCGTGAGGCTTTCTGCTCCCGTAAAGCTTTACAGCCTCGGAAACCCTACAAAGGGTCCCAAGGAGTCGGAACCAACTCCTCGGCACACCACCCCCTGACAAAGATAGCTCTGAGTCCCTTGTTACAGCCACGGTGTCAATCCATCTCCTTCAGGGTCATCCTCTTCTCACTGACCCTCTACTTTACCCAACATGAGGCCCTTCTCCTAAAGACACGTTACCATAGAAAAACCATCCATGAAAGCCTACGGGGCAGCTCAAGTCTGCATTTATCTAAAGGGATCACAGATGGACAAGGGTTCTGTGCTTTTGAATCATAACTCAATGTTGTAGATTCTTTGCTGTCATCCCACCGTAAGAGAATCCGGTTAAAATCTGCAAAGCTGGAGACCAAGAAATATTGCGTCCCCAAGGACAATGATCAACAGGATTAGGAAAGAACATACATATACATCCTGAAAACGTGGTTATTTTCTTCAAGATTCAGATCATAACACAAAAACAAAAAAACATAGAACATTAGACACAGCATTTGAATCAACACGACAATTAAATTACAAATTCTAAAGGAGTCAAGTGGTATACCTTGGGCATATTTTTCCTATAAAGAGATCTTAGCTGTGTACCCAATGGTGTGGCACTGTGGGTTAATGCACCAGACTGCAAAAACTGAACTGCAAGCTTGGTGGTGCAGTGGATTAAGCTTAGCAGCTAAAAGGTCAGCACTTCAAAACCACCACCCAGCTGCTCCTCGGGAGAAAGGCGAAGCTGTCTGCTCCCAGAAAGATTTCGTCCCCAAACCCCTGGGAGCTGTTCTGCTGTGTCCTGTGTGGGGTGGCTGCAAGGAGGAATTGGCGTCACAGCAGTCAAAAATCGCTAGCTTGTCTCTCTGGACACGTCAGCTGTGGCTCCCTCAGAGGATGAGTGTGCAAGGGCGAGAACGTAGAACAAACTAGCACAGATCAGGAGCCTGGAGCCCCACTTCCACATCCTGGGGTCACAGAGCTCTGGAAGCATCTGGGGCACGTGCTTGGTGCTCCGAGAGGCCAAACCCACCTCAGAGTCCACAGGCTGCGCAGCACAGAGAGTAGACTCTCCCAGAGCACTGGTTCACACGTGGCCCCGGGTTCTCGCCTGTCCTCCTGGCGTATTCCTCCCCACCTCCGCCCTGGTCACTTCCATCAAGGGGCTCCCTAAGCTACTCTCAAAAGCTTCTTAGAGCAAGAAGAGAAGGACAGAACATCTAAATCCGGACCAATGAAATGCAACAAATGTGAAGAAGGCATATACGGTCCTTGCAGCACAAAGCAAGAACCAAACCAGTCACCATAGGGTGACTCTGACTCTAGGTGACTGAACTGTGCTCAGGAAGAGTTTTTGTTTTTCTCTATCTCATGGACTGTGGTCCCTACAATGTGGTATCTCTCCCCCTACTTCCTCCTCCCTGTGTTCACTGTTGACGGTCTTCCTCCTTTACTAAACCTTCAGAACTGTGTCCTTAGGTAAATGCTGTCCTTCTGCTCCAAAATAGCTGACAATTGTAAGGCATGCATACCTCCTCAGTGTTACTATGCCCCTTTTAGAACTATTTATCAGTTTAAACCACAAGGTCTGTGGTTCACACCCACCAGCTGCTCATTGGAAATCCTATAGAGAGTCACTATGGGTAAACAACACGTAACAACATTACTTCACTGGAGTCCTGGTGTGGAATGTAGGATAAACACTGGATCACAAGGTCGAGCTCTGTAGGTCTGTGGCCGTTCAAATGTGCCCGCAGATCCTCAGGAAGATCCTATACAGGGCTGCTATATGAGTCAAAACAGACTCAAAGGTACTGAGCTACAAAACCTGTCTGGAAATTGTGTCACCAAGATGCGGAAGGGCGACAGTCTCAGGAGTCCCACCAGACTCCATCAGATCAGTAAGCCTGGTCTTTCTTTATGATCTTGAGTTTTGTTCCACATTTTTCTCCCATTCTATCCAGGATGTTCTGGGAATCCTGGTGTGGTACTGTAGGGTAAGTACTGAACTCTTAACCACAAGGTCGGTGGTTCATACTCACCAACGACTCCTCAGAAACCGTCTACAGGGCTGCCAGGAGTTGGAACTGACTCAGCGCTACTCAACATCCTCATCCTCAAAGCTGTTCAACTGTGATCCCTATCAGAGATCAACGGTGGTAGCCAGATCCAATCTAGTCTCCTGATCTCAGACTTTGATGTTCATCACTCTTCTTGGCTCCAAACAGCGAAGAGGCCAATTGCTGCACCACAGACGGCTGCTCAGAAACTGTGAAGACCCTAATCGCTACTCACAAAGGCAGGATGTTAAACTGTGCATCTGCACTATGATATGGCAACTGAGCCTGGTGTCCCTGAGACCACAGTCCTGAGCCCCCAGAGCCAGCACCTCATTCACTCTGAAAGGCTTGTACTGGAAGATTTTTCTGATCTAGATCACCAGCCCTTTTCTTCTGAGGCACCTCAAGGTGGACTCAAACCTCCAAGTTTTCAGTTAGCAGTAGTGTATTCAGTGTGTACCACCTAGGGAGGGACAGTGAAACCATACATACAAGGTCACGGCAAGATTTTCCTGCCAACTCTGTACTGCAGAAAAAAATATGAAAGCTAGCACGACTCACTGTTCCTTCATTTCCACGTAGTCCTCTTCATCGTGTTTGGCAAGGTCAGTTTCACTCGCATCCTCCGTGTCTGTACCAAGTTAGGGAAGAAAGGTGACTTTAAAACCATGTTCCCAGTCAGCTCACCTGACACAGTACAAGTACTTCAAAAGGCTTTATAAAAAGAATTTCCACTTAGTCAGGCCTGCATGAAGCCACCAGCGAGAAATATTAAGTTTCTACAGAAAAGGAAATGTCATTTCCAACGTACCCACAACCAGATGCATTCAAAGAGCGTGCCTTTATCTACAGTGCAGCCAGAGAACAGGCCACATCAGGCACCGGCAGTGCTGGGGTCGGCTGCAACTGCCACAGAAGCCACAAAGCTGGTCGTATGGCTAGAAAGCTGTGGGTGGTCCAGCCTGCCTTTCTCACTACTCTTGAAATAAAAAAACAAAATCCATGTGCAGTGTGTTCTGGTGCCTTCCTGCTTTGAATCCTTAACAGATATGACATCAGCTATACATACAAGGCTGTTGTTAACAGTCACTGAGACAATTCCGACTTACAGCGACCCTTTGTAGGGTTTCCGAGGAGCACCTGATACTAACCTTGTAGTTAGCAGTCCAGCACTTATCCTACAGCACCATACTAAGACTCCATACAATAAAATTAAATTAAACAAAAAAACAATGAGTTCCCGCCACATCAGTTCGGTGGGCTTCAGAGTAAAACTGGCTTCCATGTAGTTTTCAGGGGCTGTGATCTTTAGCAATTAGGCCACCATGTCTGTCTTCCAAGGCTTCGCTGGGTGGATTCGAACCACCAACCTTTTGACTGAGGCTCCACAGGATAAAAAGCACATAAAGCAGCGCATTGGATTCCTTTAACTGAAATACATTCAACTTTACAGCTAAAGGGAGCAAGGAAGGAGGCCAGCAGGCACACAGAAACCAGTGCACAACATTTCAACATTGTAATTTCAACAACCCTACTGGAAGGAAGGGAGTTGTGGTGTGGAGCTGCAGGACTGCTAACCACAAGGGCCATGGTTCATATCCACTGGCTGCTCTGTGGAAACCCTACATTGGGTCGCTATGAGTCAGAACCAACTCAACAGCACTAAACAACAGCTGGAGGGTATTTAAGGAGTCCTAGTGGTACAACGAATCGGGCTGCGAACCTTAAGGTCAGCGGTTCGAAACTACCAGCCGCTCCGCGGGAGAAAGATGAGGCTTTCTACTCCCGTAAAGATTTACACCCT